TAGTGACTCACCTTCAGATCATCATCCATCAGGTTTTTAGGGTCACTAACCCTTGTTTCCTCTCGCCAGAGTTACCTGCCTCGGGCGCCCTAGCCACTGCTGCTTCAGATCTGCAAATGATCCGTCGCTGCTTTAATACATGCTTTTTAAGTTATCCCACTGTCTGTCTTGCCTGAACAGTAGGTTCCTCTGTTCTGAGTCACTACAGATCGGGGCTGCTCCAAAAACTTTATCCATTCTAATAGCAATTCTCATGTGCACCTTGGGCTATTGACAGAGCTTGGAAGTAACATTTAAAACATTCAGAATATTGACCCTCACAGACTGACATTGGTGACCTTCGTTCAAAAGTGCCCATTACCCAAGATGCAACTCCTAAATAAAAAGTAATTGGTTATATTGACCTGGAGCAACCTATGGTTATAAAGGTACAGACAAATGCTTAAATATCAACTTAAGCTTTTTAAGCAAGTTAAAGTGTAAAAATACCATTTTTAAAAGTACTTAAAGTATAAAAGTAAAAATAATGCGGGAAAAAAAAATTTAAGGACAGAAGCTTTACTGTACTAGACTATTAAAGGAACATTTTTCTACAATCCTGGATGATTCTTTCCTTAGACTTAATTTTCTTATTTTTATAACTAACGTTAACAGTGTCAAATTTAAATTTGCATCATCTTGAAAAACTAATTTTTTGTATGTAGCGAATAACAAGTAGGTGCAGCACCGAGTCCAAGCACCATGTTATTATTTGTCTAAATGAAACAAATTATTTAATGTTTTTTGTTTTTGTTTTTTTTTAACCCTGTAATGCCAAATGTATCATATTTGATACATTCGGTTTCTGAAATGTTTTGCATCTGACACCTTTTGCATAATTTAATGGTAAAAACTTTGCTCAAAATCGTATTGTACACAATCAGATATACCTGATAACAGAGGGCAGAAGACTACACAAAAAATAGTCTTGACTTATCGCATAGTAATAAATTATTAATATCAAAAATGTATTTCTGTTTTTTCTTTTTACATATTTTGTTCAAAGGCCAAATAAGGACTTCAAACCAAAAAAAGTAATTTTCTGTTTTGTTTTATTCTTGGATCGGGCTTTAAAGGGTTATATACCAACAGACCATAACGAGAATAAGCTTTAATTGAACAAAGCCAACGAATCATTTTTTTAGATTTTAAGAGTAGTAAGTAGCGATAATACAAAAAAAAAAAAAAATGCAAGGACTAGATGTAAAAAGTTGTCTAAAAGATCATTACTCAAGTAAAGTATAGATAGCTAACATTTCTACTTAAGTAAGGTAATAATATATTTGTACTTTGGTACTTGACACCTCTGGTTAATTCACAATGACAAACAGAACAGAGGAGTCAAGGTTAAGCTTTAAAAAAAAAAAACATCATACACTACCAGCTGTGAAACATGGAGATGGTAGTTTCCTACAGATTTCTGATCCGTTTCATGGATTCTCCTTAATAAGGATGAGGGTTTTTTTTAGATGAAAGGTTTATTTACATTCATAGTTTTTGTCCTTTATTATAACTGTATAAAACCCATTTTATTTTACTCACTGTCAAAATTAGGCGAGGTAAAGGATTTTGCAACCTTAGGTGCACAATCCTTGGATACAAAACTTGATAAAATCAGCTCAGCTGCTTTAAGAAAAGTTGTTGTGAAACTTTCTAAAGGGCAATACCTACTTCTCACCATCTCTGCATTGGCACTACCAATAAACTCTGCGATATATATAGTCTATATTAAAAACCTATACTGTAAAAAAAAACTTTTTTCACACAACGCTCTAATATTTACTCCTAATTCCTCCCACAGCCTCCATGGTGCCTCCATCAGTCATCAGAATGCTAAACCCAGTCTGTTGCTAAGAAATCCCCAAAGCTCAGATCAGAGACGTTGAAATGATCTCGGTTAGCCGTGTGTATGTGCATGCGGGGAACACTCATCAAGGACATTGTAATCATTAGGTATCACCTTACACTGACAGCTGCAGTTGAAACAAGAAGCCCATCAGCCGTAGTCAAGAGTCATGCTTCAGACTCGATTCATCCATGTAGATCAAACATTCCTGTCATTCTAAGCATCAACCCATTACAACCAAAACAGCAATCGCACTTTGGTAAGAAGACGCAGGTAAAATGATAAAAAACGAATCAAATCTCAAAGCCATGTGCCACCTGTTACTATAATATTACCTGTTATGTAATATTTGCTCCCTAAGACCTGTGGGGCCACCTTCATGAAAAGAGCTTTGAATATTAATGTGGAAAGCAACGACCTGGCTTTTGGCATGGCCCCGGATGGCAGTGCTCCTTACTTAGCCTAAGGAGGAAGCTATTGTTAATTTATGAGACATGTACCCTTCTCTTTGTTACTTCTTCAGGCAGTAATACTGGGTAATTTTAAATGCAGAATAAAAAGTGAGTGATATTGGAGCTGGAGTTTCTTGGAAGGCTTTTTATTGAGACTATGAAGTGAATATATATTCATATTCATATAAGGACAACACTGAAATTGCAACTTGGGATAACTCCTGACTGCAATTACCTTTCTGTGAACCATATTTGCTGCTGTGCTGATTTTGGCAACTTTACAATTACATTTACACTTCCTTCTGGAATGATTTTGATGAAAATCTACACTTTAAAAACAATTAGTGTAGGCCATAGGAAGTATAATATTTAAGCATGTTATATTATCATTTTAATGTTCAGTTATTATTACAATATTACCCCTTAGGTATTTAAGGCAGGCCCATGCAAAATGTTTTTATTAAAATGTAACTAATGAGGTTTATTAAGGTAGCTTTGCTCATTCAAATCCTCATTAAAAAGGAGACACGCACCAATAGTTTTCAAATGTTAACCTGCAAGAAAACTGAGTTATCCATTATATGACGTATTTTAGCGTAATTTTTGGGGGAAAGTTTTACGCAATAGCTAGTGAAAGACGGTGGAAAAGGTTTTAAAGCTGTCCAAGTTTTAGTGGCAAAGAATCCATATGGGGTCAAGAGGCAGGATGGATTGCAGTGAAGTTTAATAGTCATAAATAAACAAAGGACATGACAGAAGCAGCGGGGTGAACGAAAGGAGCTGACAAGAATGAAGCCGGTGATAAACTGACAAATAAAACAGGAGGATCAGACCAAAGAGTGGCTGAGCAGAAAGGCCTAAATGTTGTGGAGGTTGATTAATTACAGGATGAGAAACAGCTGAGGAAGAGCAAGGAGGTGAAGCACTGCCTGGATCTGCAGAAAATAGCTCAACAGAGACCATACTGCTGAGGCTGTCACAGGTGTGGAAATTACTAGAATATAGGTAAACAAAGAAAAATATAATAGAAATAAAAAGAAATAGGGCTAAAAAAAATTAAAAAAAAAAACTCAACCAAAGTCCATCATATCATATAAGTAAAACTACTATTCCAGATAAACTATGTGCTCAACAATCTTTAGTATCACTTGAGCTGAGCTTGTAGTTTTGAATGCAATCGACAAATACACCCATCTTCTGTTGTACAAATATAAAGACATAATAATTAAATAGCTGAATATATTGTAAGATCAGCCTAAAACTTTATCTGAATTTAACCTTTCTATCTGATAAATGCATTTTAAAAGAAGCTTCTGCAGCACATCATTTCCACTTATAAATAATGATGCATTTGAATAAAGTGTATGGCCATTTCCCCCACCAATTTAACTTACTGATTTCAAACAATTAGCTTTAATAATTCATTTAACCTCCTCGAAACAAATGTATATCTATTGGTGTTTTGTTTGTTTGTTGGTGGTTTCTTTAACTAGTCTGAGCCTTTTTTCTTTTCTATTGAAATGTAACGGAAGGAAGCCTATTTTGGAGACGATGGATCTTTATTCTTGATTGATTTATGGTGGAAACAAGAAAAAGAAAGCAGTCAATGAGAGGTTTTTCTTCATGTTGGGCTGCCTGCATCAAAACTACACATATACAAAACTATACTTTCTTATAAAATAAAGCTTTATTCAAAATTCTAAAAGAGAAATGCCAGAACATAACAAAATATGCCCAATAAACTGTGCCATAAATGCATTAGATACTTGGTGCGAGTTGGTTTTGTTTGAGCTACATTCAAGAATGAGAATTCATGAACCACATCGGTCTTAAGTGCTTTAAAATTTCCTGATCAATGGCTGTGGTGTTTAAAAAAAACAAAAAAAAAACACAATAAGCATTGTCAATAAGTCCCCAAATGAATACTGACCATGGAAACCTCACGGTGACTTACATTCTGTGTCTCTAACGTTTTCATCCAGACAATAGCTTCAATCCACACTGAAATTAATTAGCAACAAAGAGCTGTATATTATTTATTCTTCTATTGCAAATTCATCCTACTGCAGTCTCTTTACTATTCAGGTTAAAAGCTTTACCTTTGGTAGCAACTATACTTTCATTTACATTTTAATATGTGAATTTAAAAAATTTTAACTTTATTAAGTTAATGGTGCCCAAACCCTTTCAAGGCTGTAGTTATGCACCATTTCTTAAACACTTTTCCTTCCACACAACTTTCCATTATTGTGCTTGAAGATTCTTTGATTATTTAACTTTCTTATCTATGACTTTTTAGCGTATCCTCCTTGTTTCTGTAGGAAAACTGCCCAGTCAGGGTCTTTCCCAATATTGTATAGACTTAGACCTACAAGTAAAGCATATTTGTCTCACATATTAATCAAAATTGGTGCCATGAAAGAAGCACGTTTTTTATATTTCATGTAAGCTAAAAATTATAGAATGGTTTCAAAAATGCAACAAATCGCTTTTTTCATTTATTTAATTTTTCAATTAAAATGGCATTTATTGAGATAGGGTAAAAGTCAATTTAAATGATTTACAGAAAGTGGCTCACTATGGGAAGTAAAGAGATTTCAGATAATCAGTCATCCTTGACGCCAGCCTATTTGTTTGTTTGTTATTTTCAGTTTGTTGTCTACCTTTTCCGTAGTTAAAGTGCAGCTTGATGGTCTTGCCCTGGTTGATGTGCAGATAGGTGAACCAAACGGCCGAGGTGAGCAGCACCAGCAGCAGCAGGAGCTTGAACTGCTTCCGGATCTTCTTCACGGGGAAGCGCAGCATCCTCGCTGAAACATCCTCCGGTGGATAGGAGACGTGGGTCCGGGGAGAGCAGTCCTGGAAGGCGCTGTTTGACTCCTCTCTCTGTCTACTCTAGGAAATCACAGTAACGGCATCCCGACGCGCTCACTGCTCACTACCAACCCGCGGCGCGTCAAATCCCGCAACATCCGCGGTGTGACGGCAAACCGGCCGCGTCCTCAGACCTGGATCCAAACACCTCTATGCGAGGCATTGCTTTAAGAATCCCCTCCTGCTTCTTTCTATTTTTCCTCCTCCTCCTCTCTCAGAGTTTACATGCACTTTGGCCAAAGCGATCACAAAAAGGCTGCTGCTCCGCAGAGAGTGTGACCGGATGAGCAAAATAGCACTCTAGCGATAATCTACCCAAATCCCCTGGGGCTCAAAGCCCTTTGCTGACACCGCGACGCTGATTATTTCATCGGCCACTCAAGGATCATCCCCTCCGCTCACGGGTTTAATGCAAAGCATTAAAGAGGAGCAAGAAGAGGAAGTGAAGTTTCCATCCATGTGGAGAGGTGAACCCATTAATGGAGGGGCTGATCTTTTAGAAATGGGAAATGAATCAGTGAGGCAGCTTAATAACGTTCTGTGTGAAATCTTTGAGGGACTGAGAGCCTAATGAGGAGGAAGCCAAATGTTCCACCCTGTGCGCCCCCATCTATTGTCACCCAGCTGAGGAGGAGGCGGCGCGCTCAGTTGGAGCGCCTTTTTATCCCGGTCAGCAGAGAGGAGGAGCGATCAGCTGTCATCCTCTCACACGGGTAAAAAAAAAAACAACACACAAAACTGTTAAAGCTCCAATGCGAAGCAATGAGAGATCAGGTTGCTCAGACTTAACCGTCCGATGTGAGGTCTAGGGAGTGAATCCATCCATGTGTTTCTGTTCGTCCTCCTTTCTCTCATGGCAGGTGCAATTCCCCCCAAAGTGTCCGAGTCCACCATGCATGCGAAGAAAGAAGCCTCAATCCAATAAGATCACCTGGATTAAAGTGATGCACAATGATGAGGGGATATATCCGCGATGCTTCTGCCTCCTGTCAGGAGCTTTTTTTCTTTTATCCTTTAAAGCGACCGCAATAGCATCGCAGGAGCAGTTTGTCAACAAAGGAAAAGAAGAGCAGGAGAGAAAATTTAAAAAACTGCTGATTTCCAGGAGGTTTTAGCCCCTGCAGAAAGCAGGCACGAGCAGAAAAGAATATCTTTTGCTTTTTGTTGCTCTGTACAGTGGGAACACGTAAGGGTATCCTCCTTCTGTACGCCCATCACTTGAGCAGCATCACAACGGTGCGGAGCAACCGAACCTGGTTGGACGGGGAATGGCAGAGCAGTCGACCAATAAGAAGTCAGGACTCAGAGCGGAGGAGGCGGGATCAATACGTTCAACCTGAGCGTTTCTCGGTAGGCTGCGAGTATGATCCATCATCCAGTAGCTGAATTCATCACCTAGAACTTGTTCAGCCCCTCCTAAGCACATATATAAATGATCTTGTTTCGGGTTGACTGCAAAAAAAATAAATAAATAAATTACACCAAGAGAAAAATAATTTTGATGAAGAAAATATTCCTATATAAATTATTACCAAAGATAAAATCTGAATATTGATGACCTTTCAGCTGTGCTGCTGCCACCAACACCTTTGTTTATAGATGTTGGAGCTCAGCCTGTTTTTCCAGTGTAGTCCTGTTTCTCTGACAGAATGGCTGGATGTGCTCTCTTCATCCTCTGGCATGGGAGCTGGCTCGGAGCTCGTCTGCCTGGCTGTGTGTTTCCTAGACCGGGCCACCTTTTATAGCTGCTTCTTGTATCTCTGCTTCTGTCTCCTTGAACCCCAGTCAGCCTCGGCAGATGGCCGCTCACACTGAGCTTGCTCTGCTGCAGGTTCCTTCCTGTTAAAAGGGAGTTTTTCCTCTCCACTGTCGCTACAAGCATGCTTAGTGTGAGNCTATATAAATTATTACCAAAGATAAAATCTGAATATTGATGACCTTTCAGCTGTGCTGCTGCCACCAACACCTTTGTTTATAGATGTTGGAGCTCAGCCTGTTTTTCCAGTGTAGTCCTGTTTCTCTGACAGAATGGCTGGATGTGCTCTCTTCATCCTCTGGCATGGGAGCTGGCTCGGAGCTCGTCTGCCTGGCTGTGTGTTTCCTAGACCGGACCGCCTTTTATAGCTGCTTCTCGTATCTCTGCTTCTGTCTCCTTGAACCCCAGTCAGCCTCGGCAGATGGCCGCTCACACTGAGCTTGCTCTGCTGCAGGTTCCTTCCTGTTAAAAGGGAGTTTTTCCTCTCCACTGTCGCTACAAGCATGCTTAGTGTGAGGGATTGCATTCGAGTCAATGAGTCGATGCAATCAACTGGTTTTCCTTGGATAGAAACTTTGAATCAATTTGACTGTATGAACTGTAAAGTGCCTTTTGATGATGTGTGTTGTGAATTGGCGTTATATAAATAAACTGAATTGAATTGACCTTTAAAATTATTTGTATGATTTACCCCGTGTTTACAATATACCAATTAAAAACATTTTAATTAGTTTTAATAATTCATTTTCTGTTTAATGAATCAACATATTTTCCCCCATTGTCATGTAAATCCAGAAGCTTAAATTAGCCCTCTATAGCAGTGGTCCCCAAACTACAGCCTGCGGGCCAGATCCGGCCCACCTCCATACTTGGTCCGGCCCCCTGAATAATACCAGAGTGTTTTTTTATATGTGTTTTTTTTTTTTTTTTTTTTTTTTTTATATTAAAGTTGGACATTTGCAATAAAATGTTCCTTAATTATGAAGTTTTTTCATTATTAACTATTAGTAACTATTTCATACACATAACGCGACAATGTTCCACCCTTTTGGGGTCTGTGCCCCTATCTGGCAACCCCCAGCATAAAATCTTAAACCCGCCCTTCTCAAAGAGATAAAGAAGAGGATTAGGGCCATTCAAAAAAATAAAAATAATAGTCTATTCAATTCTGACTTTTTTCTCAGAATTCTGACTTTTTTCTCAGAATTCTGGGGAAAAAGTCAGAATTTTGACTTTAATTAAGAAAAAAAAAGTCAGAATTGAATAGTTTTTTTTTTCTTTTCAATGGCTCTAATCCTCTTCCGTAAAGAGCGAACGGAATAATGGCGAAAAGAAAAGGTAAGAGAAAGATTGATTCAGAGTGCAGGGCATTAAACCTGAATTGGACAAATGATAATTTTTTTTGTTCAATGTAAAGTCTGTCTAGTCTGTCAAGAGGCGGTGGCGGTATTCAAAGAATATAACCTGCGGAGACACTATGACTCCCGTCATAAAGACATAAATCCCGTCATAAATTTAGGCACTCTTGCAATCGTCAAATTTTTTCTGTTACAAACTGACCCCGGGAAAAGTTATGTGGCCCTCACAGGAAAAAGTTTGGGGACTCCTGCTCTATAGGCTTTGCACTGATTTATTTATATAGTTCTTGTTATTTTAGCCTTTTTTTTTTTTTCGCTTCTTTTTCATTTCAGCTCACCATAAGTATTATTCAGGGATTCTCAGTTTTAGCAGGGGCAACGATTTGATCAAAAGTCATTAGAAAGGGTGGAATAACATGATGCAGTATTATTTCTTTGTCTGTCTGTTTGGGCAAACAATAAAGCAGCTTTTATTATAAATGGGGTCATAATTGGTAAAGATTGAAATACACTCACCGGCCACTTTATTAGGTACCCCGGTACCCCATGCTAGTAACGGGTTGGACCCCCTTTTGCCTTCAGAACTGCCTCAATTCTTCGTGGCAAAGATTCAACAAGGTGCTGGAAGCATTCCTCAGGGAGTTTGGTCCATATTGACGTGATGGCATCACACAGCTGCCGCAGTGCTCTATTGGATTGAGATTTGGTGACTGTGGAGGCCATTTGAGTACAGTGAACTCATTGTCA